CCGAAGCTAGCCAAAATATTATATAAATTAATCAGTATACACTCACAAGTTCATGATTTAGCTATTAGAGTGATCACCCAACCCAAACTAGAAGATTCTTAAAATTCACTCTCGACCCACGTGCCCGAATTTCGGAAATTTTAGAAGATAATTGTTACCCATAACCTCACAAGCTCAAATATATAATATCTACCCAATGTCATAATTGTTTTCGTGGTTAAATCATATTTTTATCAAAACCTAGGTTTTCCAATATAGAAATTAGCTACCTTAAAGTTCTAGGTGAAAACCTCTCTTCAAAGAGCTCTAAATCCGACCAACAAATGAGAGAAATGAAAAAAATGAGCCAAAGTCCAGATATAAATGCACTTCACTGCCCCAGCGATCTTTGCACTGCGGCAGCTTTGCCGCTTCTATGGGCAATTGTTTGCTTCTGTGGAATACGCACGCTCCAGCCTTGGTTGCACATGCGAAAAAAACTCTGCATCTGCGAGCCTGCTTCTGCGGCTCACCTAATGCACCTGCGACCTTGCCATCCTGCCCCCTCTGCATATGTGATCTCTCAATCGCAAAAGCGAGTCCGTTTCTGCGGACACCAGCCTGTCCACCCCCAGCCGCTCCTACGCCCATTGGCTCGCACCTGCAACTAACTTCTCGCAGGTGCGAACGCACCATAAGAACTGTTGCTGCTTCAGCCCTTCTTCAAAATTCAAGCATGTTCCGCACATCGTTCGAATAGCACTCGAGGCACCCGGGGCCCCGTACAAATATACCAACATGTTCGTAATCATAAAATGGACTCGAAAGAACCCTTGGAACACGTCATCAAAACTAAGAATTGCACCCCAAACCAAATCAAATCTACTTATGAACTTCAAGTTCTTCCAACTTACTCCGAACGCGCTGAATCATACATAAACTACCCAGAACGACACCAAATTTTGTGTGCAAGACACAAATCACCATAAGAAACTATTCCCAGGCTCGGAATCTCAAACGAACCTCGATAACACCAAAACCTACTTCAGACCAAATTTAAAGAACTTGAAAACATTAAGTGCACCAACTTTCAATATTAAGCGTCGAAACACTCTCGGGTCATCCGAAACCCGATCCAAACACACAGCGAAGTCCAAAATCATCATACGAACCTATTGGGGCCGTCAAATCCCGGTTCTGAGGTCGTTTGCTCAAAACGTTGACTCAAGTCAAACTTAACATTATAAGCCACTATTAAGGAACTAAGTGTTCTGATTTCAACCCAAACCCGAACTAACCATTCTCGCAAGTCATAAAATAATAAAAACGCATACGAGAGTCTTATTTTGGGGAATGGAGATCTGGAAAGCAAAACAGTCGGTCGGATCGTTACAATTATTTTATTTGCTTCCTTATAACAGTGTTGAACCAAAGCTCCTTCCCTTTCTACTATTTGTTGAATTTTTTTTATTTTTTATTTTTTGGTTAAACTATTTGTTGAATTAGTTCTACTGTTTCTACCATCTTCCACGGTGTAGTCCTTTTGTCGTTGTCTCTTTTTATTTACTGAAATCTTTAGTTGGAGAGGAGAACATAGAAGAAGGATCTCTGATTTTTTTTTTAAACTTTGTAACTCAGTTACACATTGTGATATTTTTTGTTGATCATCTAGTATTCAAAATTCACTAGTCCGATTAATTTTGATCTACATCAAATAGGAATCATTAATTAAAAAAACACTCTATTAGTTTAGCATCCTTTGTTTATGCCTTGTATATATAGTAAGAACTGGAATTTCAAGGATAAAAAACCAGATACTGCGTAGCTGCATAATATTGGATATTTTATTATAAATTGTTACTCGTTGCACATTTTCCATCAATAGGAATCTTAATATGATATAAACAATATATTGTACATATCTCTGTCCCTTGATCATGTAATTCTAATGCATAACAGAATGCATAGACATGTTTTAATAATAGAAATGGAGATCAATCAACATAAAATAACTACAAATGATAAAAACAAAAGCAATAATATAATTAAAACTGGATTTTATTTCATAATAAGCTGAATCAAATTAAATAACATTTGTACCAACGAAAGCTACTTGGAAAATCTTCAGAAACCCAAATACTACCCAAAAAGGCTAAGACTAGTATTTATTTTTATCAAAATAACCTAAGACATAAATCCTAAAGATAATAACCTAATGAAAATCACTTTAATTTTCTTCATATCTTCAATTAATTCTTGTCTCCTTTAGGTGGAGATGGAACAGGTGCATGCATGAATGGCCATGGATGACGATGAAACCATGGATGGGGAAACTTAAAACCACCAGCAGGCATGGGTGGATGCGGGAATGGCCATGCATGATGAAAACCGCCAGCAGGCATCGGAGGATGAACAAATGGCCGTGGATGTGGATGATGAAACCATGGAAAATGTGGATGGAACCATGGATTAAACCAATCTATTTCTGTATCCTGTGAGGATGAATCAGATTTTTGCGTAGCTGTAACTCCATTCGCAGTTGCAAAACATAGGTTAAAAAGCAAGAAAATGCAAACGAGAAAAACGAGACTTTTCTTAGCCATGGTTAATCACTAAGAAATTTAGGGTTTGTACGTACTCTAAGATGAATTATGAATGTAGCTATAGTGGGGGTTTTATAGGGTTGTAAAGGAAGAGATATTCATAAGTATTAGGAGAGTTATTAACTTTATCGAAGATATGAATATTGATTTGGATCAATCTTAAGTAATGAAGTTTACGTACAAAGAGAATTCTTAAAATGCATGCAATTTGTAGTAGATAAAGAGTGAAATTTCCCTATATCTATTCAAAATATAATATGAAAAAGAAAATAAATAAGAGGGGTTCTCGTCTCTGATCATTTAGAAGCAAAAAATCTCTTGATTACAATTAACTTTTATAAAATGAAGGAATTGTTCTGTAATCAACTTAATAATGATAACTTTTATAGTCCATTTATATGAATACTAGCTTATTTGACGGTTTCTCTTCTTCTAATTAATTATAAATTGATTTTATATATTAATGAAGAATTAACCTAAATAACCGCTCAACCGTTTAAACTAAAAATAGCTGGTGAAGGCATATTATATGTATAATTTGTATATTATATGTGTATAAATATGTACAATCAATATATAATTTATGTATATATTTAAAAAAAGTAAAAAGTGAATATGACCGCCTATTTGTATAAGAATCTCGTGATTAGTGTTTAATTATATCATGATATGAAAAGCTTTTTAACACTTTTTTGGGGTTTTCCAAGATAAAAGTGATGTATTTAGCTTACTGGAGAGACGTTCTAAGTGGTTGGTTCTAAGTGGTTGGTACCTTATTTAAGTTGGTAGATCAGTTTTTTTTCAAGATTATAGGTTGTTAAATATTTATTTTTAGCTTGACAACCAACATCGATACCTTTTTTTTTAAAGTAAATTCATATCTAAAAGTTACAAAATAATAGCAAAAAATATTATATTTAAAAACTAAAAAGTTATAGCGAACGCCTATAAATGATGTACAAATTACCAATTTATGAAAAGAATTTTTTTTTATTGGCGTACGCAAGATTTTTCGTAAGCAATGTTACATAGGAACTAGGAGATGACGAGAGGTATGAAAAGTAGAGTCGTACCAAGCCACCACACTCAAAAATTGCAAATTCTAAAGGAGTTATTCTATATCTTTTTTTGTTTCCCCTCTGATGTCAGGTACCCGCAATTAATGGGGCCCGACTAAATTCGAATTCGCATCGAAAAGAGCCACGTTGGGGGTAAAGCGCTCCCTAATAAAGGCGACTTTATATCCGGGGCTTCATATATGTTTTTAGGCATTTGATATATGAAACCAAATGCCTAGAAATCCATGGTCACTAACACCTGGGGAGGGGGGATGAGAATTTTTTGGTCTTTTTTTGTAGTGTCACTGTTGCGAAAAATTGAAATGAAATACATAAAGTGCATTACGAAACTGAAATTTAAAATAAAATTAAAAAAAAAAGGGTAGACCGCATCTCCTATTTACAATTTGAATAGAAGAACATAATCTTTCAGATATCTCGTGTGTTACTATGTTATTTTTATATCTCTTATATGTAAAAACGAAGATCTCTTGTAGAAAAAAGCATAAAACTATTAATAAATTTGTAAAGGACTACAAAATCAATCCCGATAGAGGAAATATCGTTCAGAGTATTAATTTGAAGAACTAATCGCACGAACAATAGTTAAAGCTAAACATTAAACTTCCTTCTTATTAATCTCAATAATAATTACAACCAATTCTAATACAACTCAATTTTTCTTAGTATTACCATAACCTTTGGCACCATCATTAGGAGGAGTTCCAGGGAATTGGCGGCGGTGGCGCGAATGGGAAAACACGTCGCGGCCAATGAATATTTGTGCTTTTTGTCACATGAGGTTTCTCGGTACTTATGCTTTCAACTTTAGTTTCCGCGAAAGAATAGCCGAATAATAAAAAAAAATGTAAAAGGAGAAGGAAATAAGAGTAGAAAAAAAAAAAGTTTTCTTTGTCATGGCGTTAGTGACTTAGAGAAATTGATGATATGAATTGTTATAGCAAAGAGTGGAATTTATAGTTTGAGAGATGAGTCTATTTGATTAGGTAACTCTATCTCAAATGATATTATTGTATATAGGAGATTTTAAAATGTAATGGAAAAGATTACAGAGTCAGATAAGAGATTGAGCTTCTGAAAAGGTAAATTGAATTTCTTTAGAGGTGAATTGAATTTCTTTATGCAATATATATCAAATATTCTCTATTTGGAAAGGATGATATTGACATTAATTAGGTGAGATTATTGCTGATCATAATAAATTGATTTATACATACAATCAGATCTCTCTATCACATCCATATATAACAATCATTTACAATAAAAGCCAAGTTTTTTCTCGGAACGAATTTTTATGATATATGTCCTCTATAACAGCACTTCATTATAACATCCAAAATATCAGAACAAATGCGACTGTTATTGAGAGATTTGACTTGTAAATACATTTTGGTGAAGAAAGTGAATAATGCAATGTCTCCCAATCAATTTGTCTATTCTTGCTAAACATAAGCCAATATACAAAAATAATCTGAAGATCATATGGCTGTCAAGTTATATATCTGGTTCATTTTGCTCCAGTAAAACAGTAAGGTCACCAACCTCTTCCTCAACTATCCATCAGCATACATTAGATAGAAATCTAGGAAAGTTTATCACATCATTGATAATACATACAAGGAGACGAATACGTTGTTCCATCACGGCCAGTGAACCAGAAATCGGATTGCACTTGAAGAACGATGACACTACTAATACAACATAGTTTCTAGTCGCGATCAGCATCTTCCAATTCTTCATCCTCAGGTACACCACGAAGATAGAGGACATTATTACATCTGCAGACGTAAAAGCAACAAGGTTAAGTAAGAGAAGTCGCATTTTAGTTAGCGAGCAGGCATTTCACTCGCCAATGCTTTTACAAATAAAGTTATATAACTATATGAAAGGACTGCCAAAAGTGAATTGGTGATTTTCCATGAGACAATTGATTAAAAACAAATTAATAAGTTTTTATAAGAGATAAACAGATCATTATCATCGAGTGATGTGTGAGACCAACTATCATACAGATATTTCTGTATCATGAACAGATAACCATGACAGTATGATTATTATGCTCAGATGTTGGCATGAATTTCAAATTCGATCCACACATCAAGATCAAAAGACAAAGCCACGAAGGTACCTAATCAGGATCTCTCCGAGAGAACCAGTGCATTGTCCATCAATGTATTCTTCTGCGTTTGCAAGCTGCAAAAAGAATAACATGATTTCAAAACATCGCACGACAAAAACACGCACATATGCACACATCACTAGAACAAGCAGGTTACCAGGAGCTTGCGAACTTCTTCGGACAATGAATATAAAATGCTTTTACTGTAAATTTTGTTGTTTTGTGCTCGTTAATTTTCTGATTTTAGTTGTAAACCCATTTGTAAAACAAGTTCTCCTCCCAGAGTCATGTTTTTTATGTTTTTTATGTAGTCAGGGATAGGTTAAGCTATGCTTATCCCAATTATCCTTCAAAGACACAGCGAAGGATATGTTTTACTTTTATGTGCTGCAGACAAATAAATTAGCTATTCATCTCCTACAGTCCTACTACACTTAAATGTCACACAGGACCTTTGAGAAAAGTCTTTGTATTGCTTCAAAGTCGATGGGTCATCCTTGAGCAGTTTATACTTTCCTAATATATGGGAAAGGCACCATAAGCTCGCAAATTCAAATGCATAACATGGATCGGATCCTTATTGCATCTTTAGGTTTGTACGGAAAGAAAGAACAGAGGTTTTCAAGATGAAACAACTGCCTTACTCAATGTGAAGCTCAGACCTCTCAGATAGCTACAGTTCAGGTATAAGGAACATACAGTGGAAGGGACTTGAAACATGTAAAAGTTCACGAGCTTTGATTCTCTTAGTTTTGACACCTATTCCGTTGTTAGTACTGTATTTTTCCGTGTCTTCTGCTTAATCTCCGATCAATCTATATTATTGCAAAAACCAAAGTGCTACCCTTTCGTGAACACAACTCGGCATTTACCGAATGCTGTTGCTCCTCAAACACACCACCACCACCACCACCACCCCAAAAAATCGACAAACAGACAAAAGGAAATGTCCCAACTATTGCAAAGTTAACAAGAATTCGCCCAACTGAGTTTGCTATTCAAATAAGTTCTTTTCAACCTGTTTGATGAGGAAATTCTTAATACAGTAATTGTAAATACGGTAGTCTAGACAGCAACTCGTGCCCTGAAGGATAGCAATGAACGGTTCATAATTAAGAGTTAAGCATACCACGAGGATATAGATGCACATAGATCCACTAAATAATGTTCTTTCAGACAATTTGAAATGGAGAAAGACAGAAACTCAAATTAAAAGCATTACCTGCAAGTTCATGTATGAATCCACGGAGACCAGATACCCTTGAAACAGAAACAACAAAGAAAAGGAGCTTTGTCAAACAACATCCGCCCACTTCTCATTCTCAAAAACCTTAATGAAGAGCATAATGTTAGGAATCAGCGAGTGCAAGCAAATTACCTTTGTACTCCATTCCCCATTTAAGCTTTACCATCACAGGCTTTCCCGTCAAATTGTTTAAATAAGGCTTGGGATTAACTGGTACTGACTGCAAAATACCCAAAGGTTCCAAATATAGTAAGTTACACTACTTTTACGTCCCTTCAATAATAATGAGTACATGGTACAAGACCATGATGATTATTATAGCCAAGATATAAACTTTAGTCCTAAAACTCATAATAATAGACTTTGTACAGTCACTCCAAAAAAGGAAAAAGATGAAAACGTCGGGAAGTTCTTCAGAAGATTCTCAGTACCAAACTTCTGATTTTTTTTGATGACCGAGAAACCTGTGCCGAGGGTCTATCAGAAACAGTCTCTCTACCTGTACAAGGTAGGGGTAAGGTCTACCTACAGTACCCTCCCAGACCCAACTTGTAGGAATATATTGGGTATGTTGTTGAGAAATCTGTTTGGAGCCAATCGTTAGGACTAACCGCAACTTTCAAAACCGGGATAATGGACCCGCCCATGTACCATTCTCCACTTAAATACTAGACTTAGTTCATACGCGCTCGAGCATGTGACCTAAGTCACAAGTACCTCAACCTTTGCCACTTGAACTACCTACCAAATACTATACTGGAGTTCCACTTTTATTATTTAGCCGCTTTTATTTATCTAATATATGTGTACTTCAAAAAAAATTAAAAATCTACAAAATTGTAAATCAGTTCATCGAACAATTTTAAGATCAGCAAACATTTCCTACTGCTAAAACATTATAACAAAAATCTGAAATTCTTGCATACAAATCTAGCTGAAGAATTATAACACTACAAGTACATGAACAAGTAGTAAACGTAATTACAGAAGAGAAAGCTTCATTTTTCATATTAATTAACATAGTACGAGTTTAATTCGGTGAGTTATACATTAATTAAATAGAAAATTAAGAGAATTTACCATGGCTTCGGTTGATTTGCTGGTGAGACGGCTAAGCTGCTACTGAAGCTCGAGAAAACCCCTAGCAGTGGTGGCGGCGGAGTCTGCCTTTATTTATATAGCTAGGGTTTTGATAAAGTATGATTAATGTCATAAATGTCCCTCTTCTTTATTTTGGAGCGTGAATGCCCCATATTGTTTTGATGTAGTGCAGGATGGACCTTACATGTTAATTACGGTGTGGTTGGTAATAAATAAAATAAATAAATAAATAAAGAGAGAGAGATTTCTACCTTGTCATCCTACATTTTAAAACTATTTACACTCACTATAGAATTTTTCACTTAATTACTTTTAATATACAAATTTGCTAATTGTATACAAAATTATAGTAATAAATTAGAATCCCTTAAAAGTAAGCAATTACATAGGTAATAATTGATAACCTTTAATTTGCTAGATTTAACTACACACATATGCACAAGTTATTCTTCTCATTCAACATAAGTCTTGCTTTCAATTAACATAGTTATAAACAAAAAAATAGAAAGTATTCTACATAGATGAGAGCATAACTACAAAAATAACATTGCATAAAGTACTTGATTACATAAACATGGCTCACATTTGTAACAATTACTCCTATTAAAAAGTAGAAAGTTAAGAATATGAAAAATAATTGTTTACCCTAAAAATCGAGCAACAATTAAACTTATATTGTGATCTTAAGGATATGTGATTTCGTTCAACACTAATTGATAAACAAGGAAGTAAATAATAAATCAGAGAATAAAATAAACCAAACCAGTATTGCAAGCAGAGCTTCAGCCTTGAATTAAGGTACCCTAAGGTGATAATAGTATGAGAACGGTAAATATTGAATAAGTTGATGGACAAAAATACGAGTCAGAAAATAAGATCTATATTGCTTTTGTTTCAGTATGAATGTAAAAAGATTCTTATACAAATGATGGGTATTCCTCTTTATATAGTAGAGGAATTCTAATTATGGTGTAACTCTAATTACGGAAGTAAATCCTATGATAGGCTAAATAACCGGTCCTGATTTGATACGGGCCGAGATTTCCGCCACGATCCTTGTCCGATCGCGGATATCTCGGCTTTCTGTTATTCGATCTGACTGGCTTCCTTCGTTCCTGCTCAATCTTTTTTTGCTTCGATCTCGACCACGGCTGGTCTCGATCTTGATCGGTCATTATTCCATGAGCTTACCAATTTATATATGTACCATGGCCCGATATAACCGAGGCTGAGCTTTGATATACCAACCCGATTTCGGTTAGTCATACAAAATTAAGCAAGCCCGATTTTGACTGTATACATATAGTTCCCTCATTTTTTGGAATGCAGTGGCAAGAAACGAATTGAGTCTAGTATCTTTGCTTGTTCTTCCCAAAACACCAAATATTCCAATCTTTATTTTTCCTTGCTTACAAAGACAAGATGGCCAAAACATCTAAAACTGTTCCACAAAAGGAAACTGCTTAGGTTCGGGTAAAGGAGGTCGCCGAGTGTCGGTCTTAGAGGGAGACCTTTAAAGAAATCCATGCTCGGGGATTTATTCTTTCAACCGAGATCAATGGACCCCGAATGACCATTTGAACCAGAGTTTTGAGTAGCTCTTAGGCTTAACAGTCGAGTGAGAATTTGCTCGAACTCAAAATAAAGTTAGCCCTTAGGCTTTACAGATAGTCCCCGAGTGAGAGTTTGCTCGAACTCGGGTTAAGATAGCCCTTGGGCTTTTATGATCAAGTGAGAACTTGCTCGAACTTGAAGTAAAGTTAGCCCTTAGGCTTTATAGTCGAGTGAGGATTTGCTCGAACTTGAAGTAAAGTTAGCCCTTAGGCTTTATAGATAGTCCCCGAGTGAGAGTTTGCTCGAACTTGCTCGAACTTGAAGTAAAGTTAGCCCTTAGGCTTTATAGATAGTCCTTGAGTGAGAGTTTGCTAGAACTCAGGTTAAGATAGTCCTTGGGCTTTTATGATCAAGTGAGAACTTGCTCGAACTTGAAGTAAAGTTAGACCTTAGGCTTTATAGTCGAGTGAGGATTCGCTAGAACTCGAAGTAAAGTTAGCCCTTAGGCTTTATATATAGTCCCCGAGTGAGAGTTTGCTCGAACTCAGGCTAAGATAGCCCTTGGGCTTTTATGATCAAGTGAGAACTTGCTCGAACTTGAAGTAAAGTTAGCCCTTAAGCTTTATAGATAGTCCCCGTGTGAGAGTTTGCTCGAACTCGAGTTAAGATAGCCCTTAGGCTTTTATGATCAAGTGAGAACTTGCTCGAACTTGAAGTAAAGTTAGCCCTTAGGCTTTATAGTCGAGTGAGGATTTACTCGAACTCGAAGTAAATTTAGCCCTTAGGCTTTATAGATAGTCCCCGAGTGAGAGTTTTCTCGAACTCTGGTTAAGATAGCCCATTGGGCTGATCAAGTGAGGATTTGCTCGAACTCGAAATAGAGTTAGCCCTTAGGCTTTATAGATAGTTTCCGAGTGAGAGTTTGCTCGAACTCAGGTTAAGATAGCCCTTGGGTTGATCGAGTGAGGATTTGCTCGAACTCGAAGTAGAGTAGCCCTTGGGCCTTTGTATTTGTTGCGGATTTTGGACGTCTCCGATCCGCATTAATTTGGTCGTAGCTTCTTTAGTTCGAAACTTGCCTCTTAGGCTTACTTTTCGTTTCACTTAGAGCTTGCCCGAAGCGTCAGTCTCCGAGTAGGGTGGTCGTGGCCTATAAAATCGAGGGTCGCCTTTAAGGTCTTATGGTCTCGAAATGTTAGCAGTTCAATTTTATTTGTTTTCCGGACGGCAATCCTCAAGCATGGGGTTTGTTGTTCGAACTTCCGTCATGATAAAATCGGCCCTTAAGCCTGTTTACACAATAGATCAAGAGTATGAAATAGAAAAAATTTCTAAAAGCATGAGATATCGGTAAGGAAAAAAATACTTCTCTCAATAAATGATTATACATGCAGGCATGTTTGATGTTAGGGCTCGAGTAACCTATGTGGGCACGGTTCATCTGACCGTTTGACCCTTACAACATTTTCCTATCGAGGCCCCGTTGTCATAAAGTAATTTCCTTGTAACAAAGTAGACATTCGAGGGTAATGCCCCCCCTCAAGTACTTGAGGGTTATCGTAGGGAACCTCGGATACTATTGAATTGCTCTAAGTTAGCACGAACAATTGTTGCCTCGTTAAAAACCTTGCTGGAAAATCCCATTTGGGACAAAAACTAGTCTAAGAGAAAAAGAGTGCAACACGTGCTTTAAGATCCAAAGCTTTGTGCCAATCATTGTCGATAGCCTGCAAGTGTTAGTGAAAAAAATAGAAAGAATCGAAATGGGGTCGTACCTTTATTCGGATTTTGAATATTTAACGTGATCTTCCTCGGCATCAAGCCCTCGTAAATTTTGACCTCGATCATTTCTCCTTTCATGTCGTGCGAAGCTTTGCCTAGACCTACTGCCTTTACGATCTCTGTTGTACGATTGATATCAATCTCTATTCGACCTCAGCCCTCGATTGATGTCCCTTTTTATCCTATCCATGGGTGTGCTAGGATAAACGGACCACGAAGGAGTCCCAGTTGATCATACTCGACCCTGATCTTCGACTGATATCCATTATGTACGTCGGCCCAAGTGATAGCCGGGTACTCGATTAAACTTTGCTTCAACTACTGTGAAGTTATGGAACTTCGAGTGTTGAGACCTTGAGTGAAAGCTTGAACGGTCCAGTCATCGGTGACCGGAGGCAAATCCATTCTCTTTATTTGGAACCGAGATACGAATTCCCTAAGCATCTCGTTATTTTCTGCCTTACCTTGAAAAGGTCCGACTTCCTTGTTGGAATTTTAATGGCTCCGACTTGTGCCTTTACAAAAGAATCTGCAAGCATAGCAAACGAATCAATAGAATTAGGGGGTAAGTTATGATACCATATTAAGGCCCCCTTTGATAGAGTCTCCCCGAATTTCTTCAGCAGTACGAATTCAATTTCATCATCTTCCAAGTCATTCCCTTTGATGGCGCACGTATATGAGATGACGTGTTCATTCGGATCGGTCGTCCCGTTATACTTGGGAATCTCAGGCATACAGAACTTCTTGGGGATTGGCTTCGTAGTCGCACCAGGGGGAAGGGTCTTTGCACGAACTTTTAGAATCTAGTCCTTTCAATATCGGTGGTGCCCCCGGTATTTGATCAGCCCGTGAGTTTTAAGTTTCTATCTTTTTATCATTAGCCTCAATTTTCTTTTCTATAGACTTGATCCTTTTGGTGAGCTCCTCGAGAATTTTCGTAATTGCAGGATCGGTCCCCAGTTCGTTATTATTCGACCTTTCTGGCATTGGCTCGGTACGGCGAGTGATTTCTAGCTCAACCCTACTCGGAGTCCTATATTGATTTTGTAGTTGAGCAATAGCGGCTTGTTGAGCCTATAGCATCTCGAATATAACTTGGAGACTAACTCTTTCGTTTCCTCCGTCTTGTGTACCTTGGCCACGATATCGGCCTTCTCTGCGTATACTCCATTTGGGGTCCGTGCCCAGGTTCGCGTTTAGAGCAATGTATGAACTTACGTCGACTGGGTTGCCCTCGAGATCAGCTTGTGGCACCTCGACCCCTGGAGCGATTACATTGTCATTTTCTCCGTGGAATCCGAGGCTGCTATCACCATGTGTAGGTGCTGTTTGTGAGCTTGACATATTTTATCCTGAAAACAAAAATACTTGACAAGAACAAGCGTAAAGTAGTGTGTGTTATTAGAATCAGTATTGAATAATCACTATTATCTTTATCCCCATGGTGGGCGCCAAACTGTTTACCCTAAAAATCGAGCAACAAGTAAACTTATATTGTGGTTTTAAGGATATGTGATTTTGTTCAACACTAATTGATAAGCAAGAAACTAAATGAATAAATTAGAGAATAAAATAAACCAAACCAGTATTGCAGGCAAAGCTTCAACATTGAATTAAGGTACCCTCAAAGTGATAACAGTATGAGAACGGTAAATATTGAATAAGTTGATGAACAAAAATACAAGTCAGAAAAGAAGAGTTATGTTGCTTTTGTTTTAGTATGAATGTAAAAAGATCACTTACAATT